ACTTGATCTCTCTGACTCATTTATGTGTTCAGATCAGTCAGATGTGAAGACTAGTTTAGACGTGGAGACACAAAATTTGAGTTTTGGGCCAAATTGTTGATTTTCCTTTTGACAGGAAGCACCTAATCGAAACACAACAATCTGATGGTACACTGACTTCTTGTTTTAATGCTGTGATGGATAAAACAGTGTTAGATGATCATGTTGTTGCTTATTTTCTAGATGATGGAGTCCTGAAGGAAAATGTGACTGGAACTCTGAACTCCTAATTCTTACCGAGAATATGTTCTACGTGTTGCTCATGACCATGAATTGTCTGGACATTTAGGTATCAAGAAAACCTATAACAATCTGTTAAGACGAACGTCCCAGGAGGACTTGAACGCAGCATAAGTCCGGCCATTCGTATCTGTTAACGTTAATGTGTTTCTGCTACCAGGTTTCCGGAAGCAATTCTACGCACCTTGAAATCTCCTACAATTGTGAAGTCCATCGTTAAGTTCTACATAACTTTTGGTATGCCAAAAATAATTCAGTCAGATCAAGGATCTAATTAGTTTAGACGTGGAGACACAAAATTTGAGTTTTGGGCCAAATGTCGATTTTTCTTTTGACAGGAAGCATCTAATCGAAACACAAAAAGCTGATGGTACACTGACTTCTTGTTTTAATGCTGTGATGGATAAAACAGTGTTAGATGATCATGTCGTTGCTTATTTTCTAGATGATGGAGTACTTATGCGTAAATGGAGTCCTGAAGGAAAATGTGACTGGAACTCTGTTTTCCAGGTAGTTGTGCCTAATTCTTACCGAGAATATGTTCTACGTGTTGCTCATGACCATGAATTGTCTGGACATTTAGGTATCAAGAAAACCTATAACAATCTGTTAAGACACTTTTTCTGGCCTGGCATGAAAGCTAGTGTGACTCAGTATTGTCGGTCGTGTCATGCTTGTCAGGTTGCTGGAAAGCATAACCAGGTTGTTGCCCCAGCACCATCAAAGCCTGTTCCGGTAATGAGTGAACCTTTCGAGAAACTGGTAATAGATTGTGTTGGTCCCTTGCCGAGAACTAAGTCCGGCCATTCGTATCTGTTAACTTTAATGTGTTCTGCTACCAGGTTTCCGGAAGCAATTCCGCTACGCACCTTGAAATCTCCTACAATTGTGAAGTCCATCGTTAAGTTCTGCACAACTTTTGGTATGCCAAAAATAATTCAGTCAGATCAAGGATCTAATTTCATGTACCGTGTGTTTCGCAACATAATGAAAGAATTGAATATAAAACATTGTGTATCTAGTGCCTATAATCCACAATCACAAGTGTTAGAGAGGTTCCATCAAACTCTTAAGTCTATGCTTAGCAAACAACAAAAGGGGAACCTCTTCATCCCAATCCTTCTCATGTTCAAGACAGTAAGTTCTGTCAGAAATACTGTCCAGGAATCCCTTGGATTCAGCCTAGCTGAGTTGGTCTTTGGACATTCTCCTCGTGTTCCATTAAAGATGTTGCAAGAACAACTTCTTTCTCAAAGTCACTCAGTTACAAAACAGAAGGTGTTAGACCATGTGGAGTTATTTCCATGAAAGACTGCATTCTGTCTGGAAGTTGGCACGGCAGAGCTTAGAAAGTTCACAGTCTCAAATGAAAAGCAGATATGATAAACGCACTGTTCAACGCTCATTTGAGCCTGGTGATGAAGTTCTTGTGTTACTGCCTTTGCCTGGGTCAACTCTCCAAGCTAAATTTGCTGGTCCATATGTGATTGAGGAAAAGTTAAGTGACACCGACTATGTGGTAAAAACCCCTGAAAAGGAAAGAGAGGGTATATCATATTAACATGCTAAAATTGTATGTTTCTCGTCCTAAGCTTGAATGTACAGTTCCATCTCCTGTTATTGTATCTGTGAGTGCAGTCTCCTCAGACTATTCACCTAGTGTAGATGATCTACGAAATGGAAGTGCCTGTTCGTCTGACATTTTTCTGAAAAATTCTGAAACCCTTGTGGTAATCAGTTCGAAACTCTCTCACTTATCTAGTTCATCTCAAAAGGAACTTATGCAGTTGATTGAGAAGTATTCTTCACTGTTTTCTGATGTGCCCACTGTAACAAATGTGTTGGAGCACGATATTGATGTTGGTGATCATCGTCCTGTTAAGCAAAATGCGTCAATCCAGTAAAGCGTGAGATCATGCAGAAAGATATTGATGTTGGTGATCATCGTAGCATTAAGCAAAATGCGTCAATCCAGTAAAGCGTGAGATCATGCAGAAAGAAACACAGTACGTAATTGAGCATGGCTTAGCTGTGCCAAGTTCAAGTCCCTGGTGTTCCCCATGCCTTTTAGTTCCTAAGCCAGATGGAACGTCACGCTTCTGCACAGATTACCGAAAAGTTAATCAGTTGACTAAATCAGACTCGTTCCCTCTTCCTAGAATAGATGATTGTGTTGACCGCATTGGTCAGGCCAAATTTGTGACAAAGCTAGACTTACTAAAAGGGTATTGGCAGGTGCCACTCACTGACCGTGCTTCAGAAATCTCCGCTTTTGCTACTCCAGATGTTTTCCTGCAATACAAGGTTCTTGCCTTCGGCCTGAAAAATGCTCCTGCCACTTTCCAGCGATTAATGAGTAAGGTGCTGTCTAATGTGAAAAATTGTGAAGCCTACCTTGATGACGTTGTTTGTTACTCTGATACATGGGAAAGTCATTTAAAGACTCTAGAGGAAGTCTTTTCTAGGTTCCAAGAAGCTAATCTCACCCTCAACTTAACAAAATGTGATTTCTGTCATGCCAAGGTCACCTATTTAGGGAAGGAGGTCGGTTATGGAATGGTTCGACCAGTGGAATCTAAAGTTCGTGCCATCATTGATTTCCCCTCTCCTAAATCTAAAATAGAACTCTTTTCTTGGCATGGCCGGTTATTACAGAAACTTCTGTAAAAATTTCTCAGATGTAGCAAAGCCTCTCACTGATTTACTGCAAGAGGATGATCATGGAATCGACCACCCTGAATGCTTTTACTCAAAGAAATTCAATCGACACCAGTTAAATTATAGCACTATAGAAAAAGAAGTTCTAGCTCTTTTATTAGCGTTACAACAATTTGAAGTGTATATCGGTTCAAGTTCACATCCACTTGTTTTTCTTCATCGCATGTGCAATAGGAATCAAAGACTCATGCGATGGGCTCTCATTTGTCAAAGTTTTAACTTACAAATCAGATACAAGAAAGGTGTAAATAATGTCATTGCTGATTCTTTGTCACGGTGTTACGTATAAACCTGTTGCCATGTTTATTCTTATGTGTGGGGGTGTTACAACCCTTTGTTTTGTCTTTTCTCGTTTCTGTCTCTCTTTTGTTTTGAAAGTGTCTGTATCCAGGTGTGATGCTGATTGGCTCCTGCAGGCTAATGATTGGCCCATCTGGATTGGTGCATTCAAAAAAGGCACACCTTAAAAGCCCTGATGTCACTTCCTTTCTCTAGAGCAGAGTAGAGGAAAGAGAGAGAGAGAGAGAGTTGTTGGGTTTTGGCTGTGTGTTCTCTTAGTTGAATGTGGATTGTTTAGAGTGAGGATTGTTTGATCTTTAAAAAAGATACGACTTTTGTAAGTAGGAACTGTTTGGTTTTGACCCCATTGCTTGTTATGACGTGGATTTGGATTCTCCTTTTAACTCTGTTTGCCTGATCTTGTAAATAGTTGTATATCATTGTAAATATAGAGGGTTGGGAGAAAGTAAGGAGTTTGACGCCATTTTGTTTATTGTAACCTTTTTGATCTCTGTTTTTGGTTAGGGAGTTTGAAAGTGTTTGTGTCCAGGTATGATGCTGATTGGCTCCTGCATGCTAATGATTGGCCCATCTGGATTGGTGCATTCAAAATTAGGCACACCTTAAAAGCCCTGATGTCACGTCCTTTCTCCAGAGCAGAGTAGAGGAGAGTGGGGGAGAGTGAGGTGTTGGGTTTTGGCTGTGTGTTCTCTTAGTTGAACTTTGATTGTTTAGAGTGAGGATTGTTTGATCTTTGAAAGATATATGAATTTTGTAAGTAGGAACTGTTTGGTGTTTGACCCCATTGCTTGTTATGACGTGGATTTGGATTCTCCTTTTAACTCTGTTTTGGGTTAGGGAGTTAGGTTAATATATCGTACTTTTAATTTAATTTTATTTTGGTTAGGGTTTAGGAATGAGGTCTTAAAATAAGGAAGTTTTGTTTATTATTTTGGCCTGGTCAACTCCTAAAGGAAATTCCCTATTTATTTTGATGATTGTATTTTTATTTATTTTTTGGTTTGGTTTCATTAAAAACCCTCAAATAAATCCCTGCTTCCTCTCTCTCTTTTCATGTTGCGTCCTTTATCCCTAGACGGGGCATAACACAATGACACAGTACTGTACAACCTCTACCGCACATAGTTGGTGGTAAGCAGTACATTGTGTATCCTGTCACAATCGCAATGACTATGAAAACTTTCCCAAATCTGAGTACTGGCATTGTTTCACATTTATGTCTGTCCCATTATTCACTGTTCAGTCAGTTCCAGATGGATAAAATCATGTCCACCATCGCTGTTTACTTATTTATTTAAAGGGGTCATATGATGTTGCTAAAAAGAACATTATTTTGTGTATTTGGTGTAATGAAAAACGTGGGAACAACAGCCCTCTCTGGGCTGGACGTGGGGTCAGGAGCCCTCTCTGGGCTGGACGTGGGGACAGGAGCCCTCTCTGGGCTGGACGTGGGGACAGGAGCCCTCTCTGGGCTTGGAACGGACTCTGAATTTGTTTGGACAGTAGTGGATTCTGGACTGAACTTGATGACCTGCTGCCATCAGAGCAAGTGTAATTACTGCATTCACGCGCTCCTCTATTTCTTTTTTTTTTTACAAATAGTAAACAGTGGTTTTTATAGTGGTTACCATTGTGCTGAAGAGTAGCGCTGTGAAAATTGTGATTTTCACTTTGCTGCAATTTAAAATATTTAATAACTTTAAATCATAATTCCTTATTGATCCAAACTTCACTAATAAGCATGGAGCAGGTGTGCATGTTTTGAATGTGTTTTTTCTGAGTTTTATTTTATGTTGTATGTTGGGTTAACATAATGGATTTAAGTTGAAATAACATTTTCTTGTTTTGTGTTACACAATCTTGATTTAACTAAATTACAACAACAAAACTAGAATTGTATGTAGTATCAGATAGAAATACCTCCTTAATGCAACAACTGCACAGGTTCACTTTTTACAGTGTGCAAACAATTGCCCAGACTCTCTGAATTCCACCTGATTATCTGAATCAGGGCTCAGGTCAAGGGTATAGCATCATTTAAAGTATTAAAAACTAGTTGCACTTGTTTTGTTTGCTTTACAGGTCTGTAAAGTAGCTGAGACCAACCCAGAGAGGATGATGGGAAACACAGTGGCGTGGAGAGTACGTCAACAGCCTGAAGAAGTGTTTACATTACAAAGACCACTGTACCAGCTAAATACATACACTGATAAACAGGTAGCAGCACATGTACACAGCACACACACAGCACATACTCACACATTCACCTCACAACACACAAACACACATGAAGCCTTTTGTGAAGTCAACACTGAGCACAACATTCGAACCAGTGAGTGAGCATGCCTAATTGTATTTCAAATGCCATCTGTAATTTGTATTTCATACGTCTTTCATTATATTAAATAATTTAATTCATAGGTCTTCAACCCTGTTCCTTAAAGGTGCTGTATGTAAGTTTTTGACTCTACTAAAGCATGAAAATACCATAATATGTTTGCAGATATTTAAGAGACATGCTAAGTTAACATACTTCAATCAATCAATGCTACAGTCAGTTATTCTCCTTTGAAAATGTGCGTTCCGGGCCGGAATGTCGGTCTCTGTTTTGTTTTGTGAAACCCGCCCACTGCCAGTTTACCCAATTGTATTTTGGGACCCCGGGTTGCCAGTTGTCGGAAAACACAGCATATTTAATTTCATTCATCGTCAAGTGCGCTCGTTCCTGTTAGTGCCGTCAATCTGGCAACCTGCGTGTAGTGATGTCCGGTTCGCGAACGAATCGTTCGATTTAACCGGTTCTTCTTAGTGAACCGGTTGAACCAGTTCACCAAATCGGACTGAATCGTTGAAAAGTGTAAGCATTAATCCACAAATTACTTAAGTTATTCACTTTTTAAACGTGGCTGACACTCCCTCTGATTCGAAATAAACCAATATCCCGGAGTAATTAATTTACTCAAACAGAAAAAAATAGTAGAAATGTGAAATTAAAACCGCCAGTAGGTGGCAGGAAGTGACTGCTAATCAGTGAGTCATTGAGATTCAACCGATTCATTCAAACAACTGATTCATTCAGAAACAAAGCATTTGACTGTGTTAATGAGTGAATCACTGAATCATTTGTTATCAACCGATTCGTTAAAAAAGCTGATTCATTCAATAATAAACACCATTGCTCAGAGACGCAAAACAGTGCTGTGATCTTTGTTTGGAACTATATTCGTTAGCAAAATCGAGCAAAAACAAGCAATATTATGTCTAAAATGTAAGTCACTTATTGCTAACTTTACTGAACTTGTATAAAATCATAAGAAATAATTTCTGGAATCTGCATCTGAAATAGGATTTAAATGTATTTACACAGTTTAATGTATCTCAGAGAGGACATTGATGCATTTAAACTGCAGTTACAGTTTAGTAAGCATTTAAACTTACATTTCACTGCTGGTCATATATTCCCTATATAACCATGTATGTGACAAATAAAAATCTTGAACAGATGCATAATTAGGCCTAATGTTTTGTTTTTAACATAAAACGTTGAATATTGAAATTTGAAATAATTTAAAACATGAAAAAATAGTCAGTAGGTGACAGCCAGTAGGAGACAGCAAGTGGCTGTTAATCAGTGAGTCATTGAGATTCAACCGATTCATTCAAACAACTGATTCATTCAGAAACAAAGCATTTGACTGTGTTAATGAGTGAATCACTGAATCATTTTATCAACCGATTCGTTAAAAAAGCTGATTCATTCAATAATAAACACCATTGCTCAGAGACGCAAAACAGTGCTGTGTGATCTTTGTTTGGAACTATTTTCGTTGGCAAAATTGAGCAAAAACAAGCAATATTATGTCTAAAATGTAAGTAACTTATTGCTTTACTGAACTTGTATAAAATGATTAAATGTGTTATGCTGATATCTGCAGAAAAACAGTACTCTTTGCGTGATATAGATTGTTAACTATATTAAATTATATAAATATAAAAAGCATACAGAAGCATTTTTGCCATCTAGCAAAACTAGTAGCTTGCAGACGCCAGACCACTGATTCGTCAAACCTGCTTTCCTTCAGTCCGTGTTCTTCTGACTATTTTGTAGTAAGTAACGAATATACTTCGGGGAAATGTATCGAAGTAAAAGTATACATTTTAATTCAGAAATGTAGTGGAGTAAAAGTAAAAGTTGGCTGAAATATAAAAACTCAAGTAAAGTACAGATACTCCCAAAAAATACTTAAGTACTGTAACAAAGTATTATTACTTCGTTACATTACACCACTGAAAATCACAGGCCAGGTATGATAAAGTAGCATAGAAATAAAATTTGTGAGACAATGGGTCCCCAAGAGCAGGGTTGATGACCTAGGATTTAATTAGTTTTATGGAGCAATGGTGGACTATGGCATAGGAGCACTTAAAACAATTATATATATATTTTTTAATGTTTTATTTGTTAGGGACAGATACAATAAACATAGATGAAAATGAAAAAACAATCATCCCATGCATGTACCATAGTGCTTGTAGCCAAAGCTAATTTGCAACACTTGTCCCTAGGAGGGCTTTTATAAATTACAATAAACAAGTAGTACCCAAATTTATAATATAATACACTAAACATGACTACAGGTTTGTTGATGTATCAACCAAGATTTCATGGCTTTCTTAAAATTATTATAATTTACAGTAGATTTTAAATAGTCAGGCAATGAATTCCAAAATTTTACACCTTTCACTGAGAGAACAGTCTGAGCAAATGATGTTTTACAATGTATAACTTTACAGTTTCCACTAGAAGCCGCTCTAGTGGATCTACTGCTTCCCTGCAATCTCTCGAAAAATGTACATAAAGGCATAGGAGCAAGACCATTTAAACATTTAAACACAAACTTTACATAATGAAAAAAGACAAAGTGAGCAAAGCTCAAAATCTTGTATTTACTTAGGTTAAATGTCTTTACAATAGAGCTTTGAACATTTTAAAGCAAATAAGATACCATCATTGTCAGATCCTGATTAATTATGGATTGATTTGTCTGAGGCCATTTGGTCTCAAGCTCAAAATCTTGTATTTACTTAGGTTAAATGTCTTTACAATAGAGCTTTGAACATTTTAAAGCAAATAAGATACCATCATTGTCAGATCCTGATTAATTATGGATTGATTTGTCTGAGACCAAATAGCTAATCCATATGCCATGCGTGATAATATCATCGAATTTAAAAACAAAAAAGCATGATCATATGTTAAACAATTTCTTATTATTCTAAAGCTAGTAAGATTTGCTTTAATCGTTTTACGCAACTTTTTAACATGACTTTTAAAATTTAACTGAGAATCTAAAATCATACCAAGATATTTTTCTTCTGATACTTGTTCTATAATCTCATCTTTAATTCTAATGTTTAATGATTCTGTTACCAATCATTTTCTTATTGAAAAGCATATGGACTTTGTCTTTTTAGTATTTAAAGTTAAAAAAGAGGCATCAAGCCAAGCTGACACTTTCTCAAAATTTCTTGTTAACTTTTCTTCAATTTCCATACAGTTCCTACCAAATACGTAGATAACCGTGTCATCAGTATACATTTGAAGACTCGCATCAGGACACACTTCTGGAAGATCGTTAATATAAATGCTAAAAAGAATCGGACCCAAAATTGTTCCCTGAGGAATTCCTATATCAATAATATGAGGAACTGACTTAAAATGATTAATGACAAGACTTTGTTCACGATATTTTAAATATGAATCAAACCATAACAGAGATTGTTTTGAGATATTATACTTTGTTATTTTTGACATTAAAATATTATGATTTACAGTATCAAATGCCTTTTTCAGATCCAGGAATACTGCACCAACTTTAAATCCTTTATCGAGTGACCGCTTAATATTTTCTAATAATAAGCAAGTAGCAGTTTCTGTAGAATGGTTATGTCTAAAACCAAATTGTAAAGGGTGTAAAAGATTATTAGTGATGCAAAAATTGTTCTGATACAACCTTCTCCAAGCACTTTAGAAAGAACCGGGAGAAGACTAATTGGTCTATAGTTAATCATATCATCTGAATTCCCAGATTTGAAAATAGACTTTACCAATGCTTTTTTCCAACTATCAGGGAGCTGCCCAGTTCTGATTAATCAAAGATTAATAAGATGGGTAAGGGGCTTAACTAAAACACTTCCATTTAAAAAAAAAAAAGGCAGTGTCAAGATTATATATATCTTTAGAATATGTAGTATTTAATTCATGAATAATTCTCATAATTACAGATTGATCCACTTCCCACCTTAATTTAAGTCTTATTTTAAATATCATTTACATTTAGTCATTTAGCAGACACTTTTATCCAAAGTGACTTACAAATGAGGACAATGGAAGCAATCAAAATCAACAAAAGAGCAATGATATACAAGTGCTATAACAAGTCTCAGTTAGCCTAACGCAGTACACGTATGTTATGACCTTAAGATAGTCTATGCATCTGTGAACTCTTTTTTTGTATGTATTTGATCTCTCTGCTCGTGTGTGTAGATATGTTTGTGTTCTAGATGGGTGTGGCCTCTGTTAACCAGCTGGAGATGGTGATTGGTCATCTGCCTTTGAACCTCATTGACTTTGTACTGTCGTGTTTCGCTAGCGTTCTGATTGACTGTTTCCTGCTATTATTTGTATCGCCGTTGTCGTTTGGTTGTGAAA